ATTGTGAAAGTGAAGCCTGAGACCGGTCACCAGTGGTTATGTGGGACATGCTGCCATGTTGGAGGAGTGCCACTAGCATGAGTGGCTGTAATGTCATCGCTTCTTCTTCCTGACAACAAAATTTCTGTGCTCTGACACAGGAGGGGGGTGGGGGTGGGGCGGGGGTTCAAATTTCCCTGTAAACAAGTTAGAGAGGTCATCAGAGATTATTATATATATTTGTAGAATCTATTTAAGGGTCAGTTCACCCAAATTACAGAAAAATCTAACCATGCAAAACAACCTTTGGTTTCAGGTTTTGAGAGATCAGTCTCTCAGATTGATGCTGCTGCTCCAATACAAGGAGGTTTTGTTTGCGGTGCTTCCAACTATCTGCTGACCTGATGGCTGGGTATCAGCGCTGATACTAACCTGATTAGTCAATCGGTCAACATCCAACACATGACCACATCATGAGCTTTAACACTACATTCATTCAGTCACACTGGGGTTCAGTTTTTATTCAATCCCTGATCTCATGTTAGTCCACATAAAAATTAATCTATTGAGTTCCAAACAGTTAATTATAATATTTTGTACATGTTTTCTGGAGGTGGAAATCACCAGAGGATCCACGATCAATACTTAAGTCATGATATGATATTATTGCAATTTTAAATATGTTGCGATATGCTGAGTATTGAGATGACAAATATTAGATTTTATTACCTTTTTTTACAACAATAAATTATGTCCCAAAAGGAAAACTTTGTCAACATCTGTTTTATCCAATAAGATAAAGTTTTCAGTCTCTTCATCTCACCACAGCCACTGATTATATCATGCTAGTAGGCTACCTAATTATTTATTTTAGACTTGCACCGATTACAGTTTTTTGGGCCGATATCAATTTCCGATTTGCAGAGTGTTTTTTCAAACCACTTTACAGCTCACAAGATATTGCAATATTTTCTATCTTTCCTTTATTAGAACATTTTAACCAAGATACAACCAGCTTTTCAATAATCATCTCAGACAAACAAAAACAGTGACACAGGTTAAGAAACATTTTCCTTTTTGCTCAAATATACAGTATTAAAATAAATAAGTAAAAAAGGCATACTTAAATAAAAACATCGATAAATAAAATAATAATTCTTGATGTATAGCATTTCTGGGTAATTTCTTAAATAGACAAAAAAAGTAAAAATATCTTGTGTGGAAAATTCACACAGGTCTTCAGGATGCGCCCGCCAGTAAACGCGCGGCCACATGCATCTTCGGCACGCAGACACGCGCAGTTAAGTTTAACACGGACGATTGTGTGCGTGAATGATTAAGGTAGCCCATGTTTTACTTCCTCACATTGCCCAAGCTGTGAGCTGCGCATGTGTGTGTGTGTGTGCGCTGCTGATGTTACACAATGTCAATCATGCGGCGCGCCGGGAATTTGACTGGCGTTTTAAATCGGCATATTTAAGACTGACCGGCGGGTGTCAGGTCACGGCCGATCACGTGAAAACCAGCCTGATTCCGAGCACTGCCGATAAATCGGTGCAAGTCTAATTTATTTGTATTTGTATAATAAGAATTTATATAATTAAGATTTATATAATAAAAAATCAATACTTGCCACTGTGTGACAATACAGTAATGTATAATGGTGCAAAATTCCTGCCTTGAACAGGCAGTGTAAAAGGGGCTATTAACTAAGGGGGATGGGACTCAGGAGGGGTCAATTGAAAAGGTCAGATTCCATAAGATTTGTGCTGTTGACACTGTTATGAGCAAAGACAGACCCCCTCTGCCTTCAGTATGAATGCAGCCAGTGAACAGTTTTCATCTGACCTTTATTAGAAGTAAATAAAAACTGTGTGAGACAGGTATCTCAAAACCTGGACAAACTGAATAAAAAAGATTCTCTGCATTCTTCAATACCACAAGAGATAAATGTAAATAATAATAATATATTTTAATTTAACCTTTTTAATTCACTGTGATTCCCCCAATTTGATGGCATTTTTCCTGCATTATTACCCCCTCACAGGCGTCTGTTTACAGGCTGTCATATCACACAGTTTCGGGCTCGCAGTAAGAGGACATGAGTCTGTGAGAAACTTACAGGCCTAGGCGAGCTTTTTGCTCAGCAGAACACGAGCACAAAGCGAGCAGTTCTCATCCCTCGTGGCTCAGACTGAAATGACACAGGCCTTAATAAGTGGACCAGGGCTAACAGCGAGCCTCTGAGTGCCGGCCAGGCTGCTCGTGCCCTTAGCGCTCAGCACACGGCTCATGGAACAAATTAGTGTTCGCTTCCCTCACCTGCTCACTGTGCAGAAATGCCAGAGAGAAGCAGCCCTCCACCCTCAACCCCTCCACCCTCACCTCACCACCAGAGGCCCCATGACAGCACGGGGTGGCTCAGGGTTGCCGTCCATCAAGCCCTCTCTGAGTCGTCCAATTATCTGAGTGGTGAACGCTGCCGGGAAAAAGGGGGCTCGGGGATCGATTGGAAGGCTCGATGTGAATGAATCAATCCCTTTGGAATCTCTCCTGCTTTTATTTCCAGCTCTTGCCGTGATGGCATCAGGATAAAAACGTGGTTTGACTAAACTGAAACATGTGATTGACGCAACACTTTCCAGCTCCTTGTTCTGAGAAGAAAAAAGGTCCACGTTAGAGTGAGTAGCCACAGACCTCTCTCTGTTCGAAACAGATTGCTTAATAAAACCTGTGATATTTTTCAGCACCTGTCTTGAAGGCTTCTCTGGCTTTTAAAGGAGAGAGCGTTGGCCTGTTTATTCATATGTATTTATTACCTCGGTTCCCGTTGTCCGAGCATGAACTTTTCCCCCTTACGGAGAAATAAACAACGTCACTGGAGCGTTTAAAGGACACATAGAAGGCAGCAGCTTGTTGAAATGTTACACCGGCCTGTTCAAAGTCATATTCTGTGTGAGGGACCTCTGGAGACGTGTCGGACTCCTTGATGAAATGGAATAATCTTGGCCGAGGTTTCGATGTAGGCTTGTAAATCAGGCCTAAATGGCTGGCTGACAACTGAGCGTCACCAGAATGAGCAGGTAGCAATCCGCCTGGTGTGCACCAGAGGCCGAGATGCTCCTCGCCTCCTCCATTTGCCTCTGTTTTATTGAGGTTTTATTGAACAAATAGCCCGGTGAGAAGCTTCCAGATATTGAGAATGCAGCTGGATGTGGCTCTGAGCAGACGGCTGCAGTAGTCGCCAACACGGTAACTGGAAATTCTTCTGACACCGGCCTCCAGTGTTATCTTCTGGCCTCTCTTTGTGAAGTGACATCATTTTTTGGGACTCTCCAGCCAAGAATTTGACTCATTTTCCTCACTTAGGTTTTGCTTAGGGTGAGTTCAATCCCTTCCAAGGTCCCTTAACACAACAATTTGACGCTGTGCTTTGGAATGTGGACTAACCACATGCCGCTGTGATGTTCAGCGTTGTGAGCAGGAAAAAAAAAATCCGTCTCCCTCTGAGGAGTCAGAGATGAAGAGGACTCACAGTATTGTCCCGAAATTCACAATATCTTTAGAACAATTGTCTCTTGGTTGTTGTTGAATTTACCAGCTTAACTCTAGGCTGTGTGGCATTTTGAGTTAGTCACTAAATCCTCACTTAAAGACTTTTCTTGGACATAATTTCTGTACAAACCCGAATTTTATTTGCAAAATCAACATCAGAACAAATATAAAGCAACCTAGTGTCAGAAAAAGTGCTCAGATGCAGACTTAGCTCTCTTTTTGGAACCACCGCAGACGTGCTTGTTGTTGCCATGGGTAACAGTATGACGTCAATATGTCAACAAGTCGAAATATCGCAAGTATCACAATATGAAATTGTTCATATGATATTAAAAATTATACCAGTATTTTCGTGAATGAGATGATATGGTACACCTCTACTGGGAAATTCAGAAAAAGGTTTTCACTCTACTGTAATGCCGTCCTTGAAACCAGGAAAACACTTACTATATTACAATATCCAAAATCTACGACAATATATATCGTCCTATATCACAAATTCAATATCAACATTTTACCCAGCCCTACTTCAGATGTTTTGTTCTTTCCAAATGAGTCCAAAACCCAAAATTAACAATTCAGTTTACAGAGAGATAAAATAGAGAAAGCAGAATTTCAGAAGCTGAGACCAGAGTTTGGTATTTTTTCATAACAAATTTAATCAATTATCGTTGTTCAACTGATTGTTTCAAGTCCAGGATACACAATTTATTATTTTATTTGATTGTCATTATGATTATTAGGGCTACCCCCAACTTAGAATTTTCCTAGTTGACCAACAGTCATCATCAAGGTCCATCAGTGGACTAGTCTCTAGGGCTGTATCCAAATATTCGGATATTCGAATATTCGCTTCTATGGGTAGGTATTCATTATGAAAATTTGGTATTCGATATTCGTTTTTTTATTTACTTTTTTTCACATTTTTTTTGGTGCTAAATGTAGTCTTTTTGTTGTTGGTACATGTAGGTTATCAATAAAAATCAAAACTTTTAAATTGCATTGTTAAAAATGTGAAAATATAGTAGAGCTAGTATAGTATAGTTTTACCACTTTATCACTTTATCACTATTCCCTCTATTCCCTCTAACTTGTAGCTGAAACTGACTTTAACCTCAGACGAGTCATCCCTTCGTACAGTAGACGGAGGCAGCACACACAGCCAATTTGCTTTTCATAAGTAGACCGGAAAAAGCTTTTAATTGACATGAGGGGAAGCATGAAGTGTTTCTGGTCACTCCCAATTACAGTCATCTCCACCCGTTAGCCCCGCGGTCGCTGCTGACCAAATAGGGGCTTAATGACCTAACTAAATGTAATTAGACCTTAATAGCTGGGGGGTAGGACGGGACATCTAGCCTAATTTGAGGGCTGCACTTAATGAGACCAGGTGGAGAGAGTGGAGGGACTCAGTGGTGCATTTGTCATGTATGATTGTGACATGTTGTTTCTGGTCTGTGTTGCAGAAATGTGAGTTCAACATGGATAACCTGAGCAAGCCAGAGCTGCTCACCCTGCTGAGTATCATGGAGGGAGAGCTGGAGGCCCGCGACCTGGTCATAGAAGCCCTGAGGGTGAGTCCAGATAACACACCAACACACTCCTGTACTCATCAGCTAAGCCTCTGTCATCTCCGCCGTCGCTGGGTTGAATTAAAACACAACCTGTTTGAAGCAGACTGCCTTTGTGAGAGACTTGAGATGAGACGATAAGCTGTAATTGTGACCCAGAATTGTGTTGGTATCACTCGGTTTAATGAGTGCTGAATGGTCGTGAACGCTGCTGAATGAATGCGATATCACAAAATCTGAGTCGGTGGCTTTTCCCCCAGAAATGTGCACAGCACTTGTGTGATCGCGATGAAAGACTCGGTCCCGCTGTTTCTTTCTTTGCTTTGTAATTACGTGCTGATAAGAGGTCTCTCTAATTGCCTTTGTTGAATGGGAGCTGGCTGAGCGACTGGTTAGCACTTCCTGCCAGAAAGGCCAGTGTGATCAAATCCTTGTGTCCACCCAGCACCACCTGCTTAGCTATCAGGAAGAAACAGATGGATAAAGTCACTGGTTCTGGCTCCTGTTGCTCCTCAGTGACTAGTGAAAACCAATCAGGCAGGTGCTACTTGAGTAAAAGGTGAGGTTGATTTTATTTGCATATACAGTAGAGATTTGAGCCTGAAATACAAGAACAGTTCTGTCTCTGTCTGAACAGTGCTAAACGATATGTTAAGAGAAATTTGAGGATGGTAAGAACTTTTGCAGTTTAATAAATAAACAATTCAAACACACAAAATGTCAGGAAAGGTGGCCTAATATTCTTATTTTCCTCATTATACAAAAAAATACAAAAGGTAAATGGACTGCACTTGTATAGTGCCTTTCTGGTCATGTATGTCACATTCACACGCACATTCACACACTGGGGCCGAGTGTATGTATGTCACATTCACACGCACATTCACACACTCGGCCCCAGTGTGTGAATGTGCGTGTGAATGTGACATACACACACACATTCACACACTCGGCCCCAGTGTGTGAATGTGTGTGTGTATGTCACATTCACAAGCACATTCACACACTGGGGCCGAGGCTACCATACGTGGTGCCACCTTCTACTCGGTAACCAATCACATGCACTAACACACCAATAAAACAGCCATCAGGAGCAATTTGGGGTTCAGTATCTTGCCCAAGGATACTTTGACATGCAGACTGGAGAAGCTGGGGATCAAACTGCTGATTTTCTGATTAGCGGGTGACCCACTCTACCTCTGAGCCACAGCCGTACACCTTCGAAATTCGTATCTCTATCTTTTACTGACTGAAAGCAGCTTAATGGCCTTGTTAATTCGACGTAAAACACACTTCAATAGAACTCCCCAAAACCATCATGGCTAGTTTTATTAGGTAGTTCACTGTTCCAACAATCACCAGTTCTGGTTTGGTCGAAATAAACTTTAATTCACAGAGAAATGTGAAAATATGCTGCTTTCCTTGTGGTCTCTCTCTGCTGTTGCTGGACGGCTGTTTACAGTCCTGGAACGTTTTCCCCACCACTCTCGGTCTCCATGGCCTCATCGTTAAAGTCGTGAACAACCAACCTCTAGTTCCCAAATTTTTTTCTCCAAGGGTGGCGAAGGCATGATCTGCCCTGCTCTCCCTCTGATTGGTTAGTACTTTAATCGACCATTGGCTGGGGTGGTTAGTTTCAGGCAAGAGGATTGGTTAGGGTTTGAGTAAGAATGTCAGGTATGCCAATCAGAGGCAGAGTAAGGCAGCAAAGGGCGGACATGCTCTTGCAATTCAGGGAAAGAAAAACTCACCTCTGCTCCCCTCCCCTATGTTGCCCCGGTGACTGTGAGCTAACCTCTGTTAGCACTGTTGCCATTGTTAGCACTGCTCGATGCCTCCATTTTGGTACAGCCACCTCCATGTTTTCTTGTAACGTCAGAGGTAAGAGCCAGTCTCAGCCCAGACTATGAATGTTGTGTATTGCAAAGTGAAAAATAATTTCTTTATCCTCCCTGATTCAGATCCGTTTCACAATTTAATGGGTTCTTCATCGCCCTGTGCTTCACCCTTCCATGAAATTTCATGAAAATCACCCCAGTAGTTTTTCCTCAGTCCTGCTGACGAACAGATGCACAGACCAAGCCGTATACATGACCTCCTTGGTAGAGGTAATCAAACAAAAGCTGCTTTTAGAACTGTCAAACTGTTAAGTCATGAGACATGTCTGAACTTTTACTGTCCTTGGTGATTGAAGTGACTCATGTGTGTGTGTATATATATTATACTGCCAACGTAATGGCAGAGCAATGAAGGTTGGGATGAGTTTAAATGGATAATGTATTGATCTGTGGTTACTGAATACTGATGCTGCCCAGATGATGACTCAGTGGCGTCCTGAAGAACCCGTCTTGCCCTTACGTTAGAGGTCGCTGGTCAGCAGGGGCAGGAATGCCAAGTTATTTCCGATCAAACACTTACATACCCCCCTCCCCCCCTGCAGTTCTGTATTTAGGTCAGGAGCGGCGCCTCAGTTTGTCCACGCTCCACTTTAAGGCTGTCCGCTCAGGCTTTTTTTAATAAGCTGTTAATGTGCACCTCATTCAGTGTTGAGACTCCAGGGAGGCAGAGATGTTCTGATCAGATGCTCACTTTTAAGGTTTGTGGGTGAATCTCTGAAACAACAAGCAGGGTCTCTGCGTCGCAATCTGTTGCACTACAAACACAATACACATGTTGTAGGGATCAAACCAGTGACCCTTTGGTTGTTTAGTTGCTGTTGTGTTTTCGTTCTTGGCGAGCTGCCTTGCAGAAGTTTTGTTCAGATTTCCTGATATTGAGCTTATTGTGTGGCTTTACAATCATTGACCTTGCTGATATTGAGCAGCTCTTAAAAAGACTCTCTTTGTCGCTCGACATGGCAGCGTCGGCTTCAAACAGTAATTTAAATCTTTCTGCTTTTCTTCCTGCTTGTTTGCGGCCCTCTTCATCTGTCCTGTTTCATCTATCGTTCTCGCTGCTTCCCTTTCTTTAAATTCAGGACGGTCTGTGCCCCAATGTCACCTCATCTCCGTCTCATTGTGTTTCTGGTATTGGTTGTTTTTGTGTTCCGCCCTCACCGCCACTTCACCCATGTTTTCTGCTGGCATTAAGAGTCCCCGCAGGCCCCCATCTCCCCTGTGGATGGATATCCTACCCAGGTTTCAGTGAAATAAGCCTCCTCTCTGCAGGCCTGACGGGTCTCACAAAACACAATGAGCTTGTTTGTTCTGTCGCTGATAAGCCCCATCTGAGAGGGAGAGAGGCAGGCAGGGGGAGGAACAGGGGATGAAGAGGAGGGAGAGGAATCAAAAAGAGGCAGAGTTAAGAAAGATATATCGAGAGTGAGAAGTCCGGATCGTCAGTTCGAATCAGAGCCAAAGCGACAGAGGGCGGATGAGATGCAAAGAGAGAGTGAAAAATGGAGGCCTGATATCGTCTCTGACAAAGCGGGACAGTGTGACAGAGAGGATTAGGCCGACTCCCCCATTCACTCGCTTTCCAGTTCCCTATCCAACCCCCCCCAGAACAGCCAGAAGAAAAGCATCATCTGGCCACCAGCTGCAGGGCTATCAATGTCACTGCACAATCAAACCACGAATCAAAGCTCAAATCAAGCTAACCAGCCTTATTAATCAGCATTTCCAAAGCACCTTGCAGTGGCACAGTTACACAGAGCTGAACAGAACCCTCAGCCCTGGTAGTTACAGTGCAAGTTTCTCTTATCTACCAATTCGCCCCACTTCACTGCTCCCACACCAAAAGCTTGGACCAAACTTCCACAGCTTGGCACGACTACAACGATTGTTTGTGGCATTTGAGTATTATTAAGAGGCTTTGGTGCCGCAGATTAATTAGCGTGTGGCTAAAGCTGGCTGAGCTGCCGTATCAGGTTTCATCCTGGAGAAAAAGAAAAGAGGCTGTGGGCAGATTAGCCAAACGACAGCAATATCACATGATTACCGTGGCCGGCAGCTACACAAGTCACCCATTCTTCTGCGCCAAGAGCTTTTCAGAGGGCATTTGGAGACTGCATCTCTGACCGAATCCTTAGAGCAGGAAGTAAACTGTTGTGTCTGTATCGACAAGTCCCAGGTGTAAAGTTAATTTCCAAAATGATGGAGCTGCTTTCACTGTTTTACAAACTGTAGATTTTGGTTGAGTAATGGCTGAGCAGCTGCCAGAGTCAAAGTGGATAAACTCACAAGCCAGAACCAAGACTGAGCTAAGCCGATGGCCAGAGATTTCTCACTCGCACAAAGAGGTAGTTTTACAAAGCCACAATTTGTAAAGAGGCCTCTTCAGTGCTGATGGAAGTAGTCCTTGATATTTCACTGACCCTATACCATTTCCATACCACCAAGAAGCAAATATTTGTAAGTAGGGATGCACAATAATATTGGCGCGTGATCTTTGTCAGAATCGCCCAACATGCTTTTTCTTGATTTGCACAATGAATGAATGTTACATACATTTAAAAGTATCGTATTTCATGTCTCCATCTGCTGGTGGGCCGTAGTCTCGCCACCAGACAATCAGAGATCTCCGGCTTCTGATAGTCTGGGGACACTCCTTTCTAAAGTGTGTTTAACACACCGGAGAAAACGGCCGGCAACAAAGCAATGCCTCTTGCATTTATGAAAAGGACACGCCCTCCCGGAAATGTGCGCTCCCCCTTTTCTTGTCCACAAGGACACAAACACACAGAGAGCTTGAAAATGGATGCCGAGAGATTTAACTCCGTTTTATCAAACGTGTGCTCAGTCCACAAGATTGTGGAAATGAAGGACTTACAGTGACTTTGTTTAAAACTTTTAACGCAGTCGGACTATGTTTATGAGCACAAGAGTTCAGCGAGCCACCGAAGGACCGCCCTGCAGATTTACTATTGGTTCTGCAACGTAGGGTACGTAGGTGGGCCGTAACGATAAGAGTATGCATGTATAATATGATGTTAATTCACTACAGGAGGGACTTGATGATCGCTAAATTAGGTTGGGAAAAAAAGTGGGGATATCGATATTGGA